TTTAACTCATCCATTAAAAAAAAAGTTAGTAGTTGTATTTTGTGTTTTTATATCCTCCTTTTTTTCCCCTTTAGGTCTTTCTGGATATTATCAATAATTTTTGTTTTTGTTTAGCTTTATGTTTTTATCCCTTGTGTCTTTAAAAATATCATATATAGCGCTTCTGTTTTCTGTTAGTTCCAGTATTTTTACTTCCTAGGTTTAAATTTGTTTTGATGATTCACTTGTACTTGCTTCTTCACAGGCTTGATGACTGCTGATTGTGAATTCAAATTGTTTTTGCCCTAAGTCATGAAAATCTTGCTGTCCTAAATTGAAGTTGCTTTTTTATAAGGCTTTGATTTGATTTGCATGTGATTTGGGGGGGGATACTAAAAGGTATTACCAATTGGTTCATAGAAGCCTCAGATAATCTCTTCTTATTGGCCTAAAGTTTATACTTCAGTCATGAGGTGCTTTGTTTTTTGTTTTGTTTTGTTTTTTTTGGTCTGGGCACTTTAAAGATAGATCCCTCTTCCAGTTTGCTTACAAATTAATTCCCTCTCACAAATCTGGTTTTAGCTAATGTTTGTTTTTTTCATTTTTTGTGTGTGAGATAGATTAGATGAGAGGTTTCTTAGAAATTATGCCCAATAACGCATCAGAATGTCTGATTTATCCATTATTTTGTTGTTTTATAATAGAAGGTTACCATGCTACAATTCCAGTAGTAAAAGTTCAGTTTTTTCCCACTGCAGAGTAGTGTTCATTTCAGCCAGCTGGTTTTTTTTCCCCCCTTTCAGTTATTTCTTTGTTCTACTGGTAAACTTTTAACCCCTTTTCATTTTCTCATTATTTCTCCCTCATGCATTTAAATTTCTATTGTTGGTTCTGGATTTATAGATGCTATTTTCATTAAGTTTTTAGAAATTCAAAAAAATTCACAGCAATATCTGTTTAATCAAGAGTACTGTCTGTGTTTCATAAATTTTTTAGCTTCTCTTTTTGCCTTTCTTCATATCATTCTTTCTCCTCTTGTAATCACTTCTTTTTTTTTTTTTTTTGTACCAGGAATTGACCTCACAACCTTGCACTTGCCAGGCAGGCACTTTACTGCTGAGCTATAGCCCAGGCCCAGTAGTTTCTTATAGATCTGATTCTAGAGCCTTCTCATAGCTGACTGAATAATTTTTCTTTGACCTATTACTTTGAGAAGATAATGTTAGAGTAGAAAAAGGAATGTTCTAATCTAGACTGGAGGTGAAGGTCAGCAAACTATGCCCGTAGCTCAGCCACTTGTTTTTGTAAATAAAGTTTTATTGGAATACAGCCACACCCAATCACTTATATCTTCTTTCTTGCCGTTAGGATGGCAAAGTTGAGTTCAATAGTTGTGGGCAGTCTCTGGCCCACAAAGTAAAATATTTATTAAGACTGTAAGAAAATATTTGCCAACCTTGACTATAAAAATGCATTTCTTCTTTATTTTGAATTCCTTTATTCTTCATTATTGTGTAAATAAGTTTGTTTAGGCTTTTTTTCTCCTCATTGAAAAAGTAACTACAGCTGAAAGTCTAAATACTATATCCTCTGTAAGACTCCTTAACTGTGAATCTTATACCCTCACCTCTACAGACTTCATGCTGAAAAGACAGTGTTTTGGAATGTCCTGGCTTCCCTGATACATCTTGGGCTATCAAGTCTGCTGTAACCAATCTACACTCCCAAATTTCAGTGTAATCATTAATTCTGACCTTCTAGGTATGACACCTCTTTGGCACTGACAATGATTAGTTCTGCCCAAGATTAGTATGAAAAGTTGGCTTCTCTTGGAGTCCTTCTTCCCCTGGTGCAGTCATCATTGTATTTGTCAGTGCCAACTCATTTATTATGATTGGCGTATACAACTACTTCTTTGTTTATAGAGAGAAAATAAACCAGAAGGGGCTGGGGATTTAGCTCAGCGGCAAAAGCGCCTGCCTGGCAAGCGCAAGGTCGCGAGTTCGGTTCCCAGTACCGGAGAAAAAAAAAAAAAAGAAAATAAACCAGAGACATTTTTACTCCATCATTTTAAAACATGAAGTCTTTTCTGTCACACGTGGTATTTTGGTCTTGCCCTTATAATTCTCTTTCACTTCTTAGTACCATGCTGACTTGATCTTCTCCTTCAACATCCTTTTCCTAATTATGGTTCTGTTTTTCTTGGTAACCAAGGTGACCTAAGAGTTTAGCATTTTGTCTTCTTTTTTACATTTATAACCTGCAACTAAGTTTCTAATTAACCTGCTTATAATCACAGCTTCACAGGAATTTTTTCTCTCACTTCTCAGTCTGAACATTACTCCATTTGCTCACTGTTTAACCTACATGACTTCTCTGGTTTTATGTTCCAGTCTTTACATCCAGTTTTTACCTTCCCATTGTTTATTCTCATTTTATAGATTACTGCAGTGTTCATAAATATTACCTAGTTTTAAAAATATACAAAAAAGGTTATATGTTGAAAAGTAATTCTTACCTATTTCCTTTCTGTAGTGGCCACACCTAGTGTCATTTCCTTTTAGCTATTACTTGTATTTCAAAATTTAGCATTGATGCCACTTTAAATTGATAGATTAATTTGTGATTAATGTCATCTCTATGCTAGTGAATGTTCTCTTTCAAGGATGCATTATGCCTTTTAATTTCCTAGGGATGCCAAAACTATGTGCTACAAACTTGGTAAATTAGAATAACAGAAATTTACTATTCCAGTAATTTATTCCAGTAACTTTGGAGGATAGAATTCCCAAATTAAGATGTTAGTATGGCCATATTCTCTCTGAAACCTATAGGGGAAAGATCCTTCCTTGCCTTTCTTAGCTTCTGATAATCCCTGACATTCCTTGGTTTATGGCAGTATAACTCCAATCTGTGTTCCATCTTCACAGAGCATTATCTTTATCATTTCATGTAGCATTCTTTTTATATGAACACTCATCATGCCCATTACAGTGGCATACACTTGCAAACTACTTGGAGGAACTGAGGCAGGAGGATTAAAAGTTGGAGACCAGCCTGGGTAACTTATCAAGAACTTATTTCAAAATAAAAAATAAAAATTTGGGGGATGTAGCTCAGAGGTAGAACATCACTGGGTTCAATCTCATGTACCATAGAGGGGAAAATACTCATACTTGATTAGGGCTGAGTCTGTTCTAGTATAGTCTACTCTTAATTGGATCTGCAGTAACCCTATTATCAATGAAGGCCACATTTTCAGGCACTACAAGTTAGGACTTCACTATATCTTTTTAGGGGACACACAGTTGAACTACTAAATACCTTTGCATTTCATTTTTTCAGGTCTATATGTTCACTTTAGAGTTTTCGGACATTTATTGTTAATTTTTTCCTAGTTTTCATTTTCATGTTTTTGTTGCCTTTTCAAAAAGAATTTCTTCTATTATATTTCCTAAATAGTTGTTAATATAATAAAGGTTATTGCAATTTATATATAGTAAATTTTGTGACTTTCTTTTCAGATGACTATTTTTCAGGCAAATAAATTTATTTGCCTGACACATAATACTAATTTTTCCTTTCCTTTCTAGCTTTTTTATACCTCTGATTTACTTCTTATTTAATTGAAATAATAGTATGATTATAGTGGTGATAGTACTCATCTTTTCTTATTCTTGACTGATTTAGTGTAGTGTTAGTGTTTGGATTGTATTGCACTTTTTTTTCAAATCTCTTTCTAATCTCATTTTATAGTTTTTTAAAATGGAAAATAGATGCTGTATTTTAGCATCTTTTTCACATCTATACATAACTTCGTTTTTCATTATGACCCAATAATATATTTCCTTATAATAATAGAACTTCTGGCATTAAAACACAGTTATATTCCTGATAAAAATCTACTAAGTTATATATTTTATATTAATCTGCCTCTGGGTTTTCTTTTCCTTCTGTATCATTTTGATACTTTACATAGAAATTTTTGTTAATTTTTATAAATGAGATATATAGATTTCTTTTTTGGTGTATCAGCTTTGTCAGATTTTGGTATTAATATTGTTTGACCTATAAAAATCAGGAGATCTCTTTGCTTTCTTTTGTAACATTTCACACAGCGTAGAAGTTGCCCCTAAATGTTTTAGAATTCTTTTATGAATCTTTTGAATAAATTTTCTTTTTGTTTTGTTTTTAGGAAGTTTTCTGCATCTTCTAGAGTTAGTTTTGGTAATGTGCATTTGCTAGTATAGAGTTCATGTCTGTTTATAAAAATATATTTTAATAGAATACTGAAAAATGGTCTTAAGGTTTTTAGCTTCTTGTTTCATCTCTTTTCTATCATTTCTCCTTTCTTTATTCATACATTTTACATCTCTCTTTTGTTACCTAACAGGTTGTTTCCTTTCAGATCCCACTTAAAAACAATCAAAGCTGTTTGTATTCATAAATACTTGCCTCTAATAATATCTCCTTTCCTCGAATTTCTTTCTCAAAACTGAGGAAATAAGAGATCTATACTGAGGAAGTATGAGATCTATACACTTGAAATTTGTTTAATAGTAGAATATAAGACTTTAAGTATCAATCCCAAAATTTTAAAATTGTTTTAATATTATAATACTGAAAAAATTCACCAGTGATACTTATTTGCAATCTATTGTAGGAGAGATATGGGGATTTGATGAGCATCAGAAAACTCAGAATGGATTTTTGAAACAAGTTTTCAAGAAAACACTGACTGAAGAAGTCAATGAATGTCACAATAAATTCACAAATGCATTTCCTCTGAATTCAGATTTTATTCCTTCCAGACATAAACTCTATGAATATGATTTGTTTGAAAACTCTTTAGAATATAATTTTGACTGTCATAATAATGTGAAATGCCTTATAAGAAAGGAACCTCTTGAATATAATGGAGCTGTGAGATCATATGGCAGCAGCTCATCCCCTCTTGTAGTAACACCCTTTAAGTGTACTCAGTGTGGAAGAGGTTTTAGTCAAACATTGGACCTCATCAGACACTTAAGAATTCATTCTGGAGAAAAACTCTATGAATGTAACAAATGTAGGAAAGCCTTCAGCCACAAGGAAAAGCTCATTAAACATCATAAAATTCACAGTAGAGAACAGTCTTATGAATGTAATGAATGTGGGAAGACTTTTATTAAAATGTCAAATCTTATTAGACATCAAAGAATTCATACAGGAGAGAAACCCTATGTATGTAATGAATGTGGAAAATCCTTCAGCCAGAAATCAAATCTCATTGATCATGAAAAAATTCATACTGGAGAGAAACCTTATGAATGTAATGAGTGTGGAAAAGCCTTCAGCCAGAAACAAAGCCTCATTGCACATCAGAAAGTTCACACTGGAGAGAAACCTTATGCTTGTAATGAATGTGGTAAAGCCTTTCCTCGAATTGCATCCCTTGCTCTTCATATGCGAAGTCACACCGGAGAAAAACCTTACAAATGTGATAAATGTGGAAAATCCTTCTCTCAGTTTTCCATGCTTATAATACATGTGAGAATACACACAGGTGAGAAACCCTACGAATGCAATGAGTGTGGAAAATCTTTCTCTCAAAGCTCAGCCCTCACTGTACATATGAGAAGTCACACTGGTGAGAAACCCTATGAATGTGAGGAATGTAGCAAAGCTTTCAGCCACAAGAAAAACTTCATTACACACCAGAAAATTCATACGAAAGAGAAACCTTATGAATGTAATGAATGTGGGAAAGCTTTTATTCAGATGTCAAATCTTGTTAGACATCAGAGAATTCATACTGGAGAAAAACCTTATATATGTAAAGAATGTGGCAAAGCTTTTAGCCAGAAATCAAATCTCATTGCTCATGAAAAAATTCATTCTGGAGAAAAACCCTATGAATGTAATGAATGTGGTAAAGCCTTCAGCCAGAAACAGAATTTTATCACTCATCAGAAAGTTCATACTGGAGAGAAACCTTATGACTGTAATAAATGTGGTAAAGCCTTCTCTCAAATTGCATCTCTTACTCTTCATTTGAGAAGTCACACAGGAGAAAAGCCTTATGAGTGTGATAAGTGTGGGAAAGCCTTTTCTCAGTGCTCACTGCTTAATTTACATATGAGAAGTCATACCGGTGAGAAGCCCTATGTATGTAATGAATGTGGAAAAGCCTTCTCTCAGAGAACTTCCCTTATAGTGCATATGAGAGGTCATACAGGTGAGAAACCCTATGAATGTAATAAATGTGGAAAAGCCTTCTCCCAGAGTTCCTCCCTCACTATACATATACGAGGTCATACAGGTGAGAAACCCTTTGACTGTAGTAAATGTGGAAAAGCTTTTTCTCAGATCTCATCTCTTACTCTTCATATGAGGAAACATACAGGTGAAAAGCCGTATAACTGTATTGAGTGTGGCAAAGCTTTCAGTCAAAAGTCACATCTTGTTAGACATCAGAGAATACATACTCATCAGAAACAGTGTTCATAGTGTGATTATGGGAAATACCCTCAACACATTGTGGCACATTACATGAATGGTTCTAGAGCAGAAACCAATAAATATGGGAAAGCCTTTTGAAGATGTTCACAAATTATAAAACATTAAGAATTACCTAGGTGAACAGTTGTATGAAAAAGCTGTTTAAAATCTTTAGCAGACACCTTACTCATTGATGGTATTAATATTCTCATTCAAATCTTGAAGAAGATACCTGCTATAGGCATATCAACATACTACTTAAGCTCCCAGCTAATATATTAAACAAGAAAAAGAAGATTTGGAAAGAACTATAAAATAGCCTTTTATGTAACACATAGCTAATTAGAAATATGCAGAAAGAAAATATATAAGCATAAAAACAACAATGAGTTATGAAACATTTATATCTATAAAAATATAAAATATGTTGAAGGGCTCAAAAGAACACCTGAAAAATTGAGAGAAATGAAATTATTTGTGAAAAGACTTGACATTGTAAAAACATATTCTCTGCAAGGTCTCTAATGTACTTCCACTCAGAATTTACACTAGTTAGTTACACTTGAAGAGTTTCACAAACTTCTTTAAAATATGAGAAGCTAAAGGATCACAAATAACTGAAACAAATTTGACAAAGCAAAATACACTGTTATCATTACATACTTTATCTAAAGCTATTGTCATTTAAACTGTGTTATTGACTAATCAATGGAAACAAATTGAAGATCGATAGGACAATCTAAGAAGATATGGGAATTTTTTATATTATAATGTTAAAATCATTGGGGGTAAAAAAGGATTGCCCAATAAATGGAAGATTCATATAAGCAAAAAATTTCACTTTCTACCTTACATACAAAAGTAATACCCAAGTGGGTTGAAGACCAGAATATAAAATTAAAATTCTAAAACTCTGATGAAAATAAAGCATATACTTCAGAGTAATGGAATTTCTTTTGAAACACATAAACGAGACAATCAGTTCTGTTTTGGTGTACTGGCCTGAAAAGTACATAAATATATACACAAAAATATACCTGTCACTACGTTCACTGCATTATGGCTTTTATTGCCTTAAATTGGAATATAATGAGTTTCTATCAATAGAGAGACAGATCGATACCATATGTTTATTTCTGCAATAGAATACAGTATGTAGAAAGAAGATACAAAATTTGCATATTGTTACATGGATTGATGGCAGTATACTGAGAGAAAAAAACAAAATTCACAACAGTAAAACATTGTGAATGACAGCACTTATATTGGTTGCCTTTGGAGTTATGGAAAGGTTTGGTGTGAATTGTTACATTGATCTGTAATATTTCATAATAAAAGAAAAAAACAAATGCCACAGCATTAACAAGTCTGGTTGTCCAAATTATGTGGAGTTTTAAAAATATTTTGTCTTTACTTTCCTGATATTTTTAGAATAATAAATAGGTGGGGAAAACATGGGTCCAGTTTTAAAATGGATTTTTGATCAGCTAACATTAATAGAAAATTCTTTGGATACAAAAGAAGACTTTTTAAACTCTTCACAGCATTAATTGGAATAATAAAAATCAACTTGGGATAACATTTGTTTGAGACTAACTTAAAAATGTTAAATGATCTTATTTTAAACACAGGTTCCTCCCCTAGTTGAAAACTGAAGAAGCAAAAGAATAATTTTGGGGAGAATTGTCTCTGCATTTGAAAAAAATGTCCCTCATTTCTGTTGGTTTCAGAATGAGAGAAAGACACATGAAGGAATCCTAGAAAATGTGGTTAATGTTTCAATATGGATATTTACCAGGATTGGAGCAGAAGCATTTTCAACATAGCTCAACACAACTTTCTTCGGTTTCTAGATTCTTAAATAGATTCCAGATAGATTTATGTGTGCCAGATAAGAGCCTAGTAGCTCACTCTTCCTTTTGGAGTAAGAATTGCTTCTGTTCCTATAGGAAAGTTGGGCATTCAATTTGATTTGTAACTTATACACTTGCAGTATAAGACTGAGCTAGGTTTTCATGTATCTCAGCTCTGCATTGGTAAGGTGTCAGAGTAGACTTAGAAATATTTATGTAATAAATACTGTGTTTGAGCTAGGAATTTAAATCCTTAAGGTCATACTTTTCTTCACCCACATTTGTCTAGCACAGTTAGGAACAATCAGCCTCATACTCGTTAGTATGGCCAAAATGTTCTGAGATTTCAATTAACATGTTCACTCAGAACCTTGTCTTTTTAAAAAAGTATGTAATTAGGAATATCAAATGAAATGATAGTATTTTATGTGTCTCTTGCCACATTAATTAGTTTTTTATTAATGGATATAGAGTCACTGGTGCCTTTGAATCATATCAGATTAGAGAGCCAATACTAAACACCCGGAACCAATGAAGAAAGCTCATTTTTCAGATTGTACTGCTCTAAAAACATTCCAGGTTCCAAATCTTGGTTGGTTTTCCCTACTAGATTTATATATAATTATGTAAAATGTTAAATCATAAAAATATAGTACATTAAAGTTATGTTACATATTATGTGTGTGATATATTAAATATGTGGCATGTACCTAAATTTGGGAATTTTATAGATAGATAGATATAGATATATTTGAAATTTATAAACTGTTCTACTGAATTAGCTTATGAATTGTGGGAACTAGCAAGTCTGAAATCAGCAGAGCAGGCCACCTAGTTGGAAAATTATATAGGAGTTAATGCTGCGATCTTAAAGCAGACGTTTTTCTCTGCAGCTTTTGCTCTTATAACTTTCAGCTGATTGAATGAGGTTCATCCCAATTGAAAGTGACCTTAAAGTCAACTTATCATAGATGTGTATTAGCTTTCCTATTGCTGCAACATAATACCTGACACCCACAATTTTTAAAAGGAGAGATTTAATTTGACTCAAAGTTTCTGGGGATTGAATCTATGGTTGGCTGGCTCCAAGGCAGAAACATCATGGGACAAGAGCATGGCAGAACAGAGCAGTTTAGTTCATGGTGGCCAGGAAGCAGAGCAAGGCAACAGCACCAGAGAGGAAGGAGTGAGGGGCCAGATACAGACCACAATGCATGCTTGCATGACTCACCCAGACACACCCAGGAGTGTACTTCACCAATTTCCTGAGCAGACCTAAAGTCGATCCAGTTGACATGACCCAAACTAACACAGGATGTACACCACATTTTCAAAATACTCTGAAAACAATATATATATATATTAGTGTTTTTAAATACCTGGGTACAATAATTAGCCCAATGAATACATAAGACAATCATCACAGTGTTTGATACTTTTCCCTTTTTTGTGCTTATGTGACTTACTGAAACTGCCTGAACATGGTCAAGTTTGCCATTCTGTAATCTTGGACCTCTGTGTTATGAAGTTATGGTATGTATGTTTCAATTTAGAGATCTGCATATGTTAAATTCAGTAGGAAACTCTCTAATAGTAAGATCCATCACAGTTTTGCTAAATTTACAAAAAGCCTGCATTACCATCCTCATTTGCCATGATATACTCTTTACCTAAAGCCAGGTGTGGAAGCCAGGTACTATAAGATAACCATTATAACCTAGAAATTATATCATTGCATGGATGGGTATAGTGATTGATGGATCAAATATTCTTAAGAGTATATTAGAGTAACTGAAATGAGCAATGAATGAGTAGATTGATTTAACATAAAATTAAAAAGCTAAAGGACATGGTTCCAATGTGTACCTAAACAAGTAGGAGCTGAAGATATTACTAAATTTTCATTATGAAATTATGCTAATATGGTAAAAAATCCATTACAAAAACAGCAGGCATCTGTTAGAAGATTATTGTAGTCAATAGATGTATTTGTGTTGTATTTTCATTGGGGTATTTTATGCAAAAAGGTTACTTCTGTCAAATAGTACCAGAATGAAGTGAAACTTCATGAGAAAATGTCTAAAATTCATGTGAAATGAGCATAACAGATGCACCACTCTGAGATGTATGTTGATAATGGGGCAGGCTATGCAAGTGCAGCATAGGGGTATATGGAAAATTTCTGTACTTTTTGTTCAATTTTACACTGAATCTAAAACTGCTCTTTATTTTTTAAATCTTTAAAAGCTTTACATTTTTAAGGCCTTGTGATAACAAGGAACACAGGAAAAAAAGGAATTCTTGTTATTGTTAATGGCTGTGTTAACTAGCAATGTTAGTTTAGCTGAGGACACCCATACTGCAAAGTCCCAAAATTTCTGAGACATAATGCCAGTAGAACCAATAAACCAATAGAACTTTTTCAAATATAGACATTGTCATGGCAACATTATCATATTTATAGGAGGATGGAAATAATATATGGCATAATCTTAGAATATTATATAGCAGTGGAAATACATGAGCTAAAAAAAGCAAACTATGGAAATATGTGCAGTATGTGATAATATTTAAACGTTTAAAAGGTAAGCAGTAAGACTACAAATTGTAGGGTATTATACATCATTGACTATTATTCCCTGTGCAAATGTCTATAAGATGCATTGTGATGTAAGAATTTGAAAATATCACCTTAGCGTAGATGCAATCCAATAGATTGTTTGAAGGAAATATATAATAATTGTATTTCTCAAATCCACTAAGGTGGTTACTTCCACAGGAAGAAAGGATAGACAAGAGAAGGGGTGATATGAGGAAAAAGTTAGAGAAAGTAAAGTGTGGCTATTAAAAAAAGAATATAGGGGGCCAGGGATAGAACTCGGTGGCACAGTGCCTGCCTGGCAAGCAAAAGGTCCTGAGTTTGATTCCCAGTACCAAATAAATAAATAAATAATGTTTTATATATGGGTTATCTCTGAAAAATATATAGGGTATATGATCCAGCATAAGCAATACCACATCCCTGACTGAGAGAAAAACATTAACCTTTAATTCAAAAGTGCTGTGGAGCACATAAATACATAAAATATCATCATCTATAAAATGCATGTACATAGCATGGTGAGTCAAAATATAATAATAATGTAATAGTATGATGAGTTAAAATAGCCTTCCAGGCATGGAAGCTGATACAGACTATCACAGGCTGAATACCAAGGTTCCACCCATAACCCCTGCAGTGTCAGATACTGTCACCATTACCAAAGTATGTTACATGTATGTGCAAATATGCCAAATGAAGCCCATTATTCTGTATAACTAATATGCACTAATTAAAATGTATACAAATGCTTCTATACCACATTATTTGCAAAACCAGAGGGAAAGAAGCTGTATACTTTTCATAGAACTGAAACCTGTTTCATTGGTTGCGTGTCAGTGCTATTAACATTTTTGTGAAATTTTTCAAACGTACAAATGGAAAGCAGTGAACAAGCACAACAGTAATCGCCTATGATGTTCATTCATACAATATTCTACTTCATTTGTGTATTTTCTTCAGGCTACCTCTCTGAATGGCACCTAACAAAATGGCACCACATTTAACAAAATAGACACCACGTCCTTATCACATAATATCTAGTCTATATTCGATTGTATCCAATATTATTGAATAAATATGATTCATGGCTGTATTCAAAGTCATATTGTTGCTAAACTCGTGCCAAACTGAGTGGGAAAACGCACCAAGGAGTTGGAGAGCAACCAATCTTATTATGCCAGTGGGCTGATGGGGGATTGCTGCCCAGAGCCGGGTTTGGGCTTTGTTTATATATATTTTGCAAGTGAGAAGTACAATGGCTTAAAAGCATGATGATTTTTATTGGGTAGCATCAGTCATCTCTCCTTGCTGGGCAGAAAGTCCTTGAAGTAAGTAAGTGATAGTATTGGTCATCTCTTGTTGCTAGAAAGTGTAAGGTGTGTAGTTAAATGGGGTCAGACTAGGCTGGGTCAGGTTATCTCTGGTGTAGTCCATCAAGGTTGAATGAGTCTTACAGACAAGCTACATGGTGGGCTGCATGATCCTATTTTGTCCTAATAGGGTGTCAGATTACTGGCTGATTTTTAATTTTTATATTTTCCATCACAATATGATATTTGGGCAACACTTGCAAACACCCTTGCCAGTTCTAAATCTTGGGGTTTTAGTATAGGAGTTCTTAAGATTTTAGGGATTATATGCCTCTTTAGAAGTCAAAATTTTGAACTGATCGCTAGAAAGACATATAAGCTACAATATCCAACACAGTTAATATAAACAACTTGTAGAGAGTTCAGGAGCTTCTGGAAACCTGAAAAAGAACTATCAGTCAAGGAACTCATCAGTTTATCTGTGATATGCAACTGTCCACTGGGCCACATTACATCATTTCAATCCTCTGATGAACAGAGCCCTGGCAGGGCTGACCTAGAGTTCACAGATATGGTCACTACCTACACTGCTTCAGTTGT